AAGCATGAAAAGCATCATTGACGCTCAATGATTTGCTCCTTGGCACATTCTGAACTTGGTGCCTTCCAGGTGGATTGGGAGTAAAAGTACCAGAATTCCCAGCAGGTTGTCAACTCATATATCCTGCAAGGAGCTGAAATTTTCAGTATTGGATGCAGTGATAACCCTGCTTTACAGAAGCAATTTAGGTATTCACAAAAAGAAATAAACCTTTAGACCCTGATAGGGCAAGAAAGCTACATGATAGGATATCATTCTAATACACTTGCTTGCCATTACGGTCTTTCTCCTATAGCAAATCTTAATGCAAAGAATAGTACGGAAGACTAGGAGATTATAATAAGTCGAATAACAGATTTAGAAGCTATGCCTGCTTTTAGTAAGTGATTACACCTAGCTGATCTTAGCTGAGTTTGGATACTAAACAGGTGTTTGGATAGAAGACCCACACCCCAAACCGTAGGAATTCAAGGATTATAGCAGTGGTGGGTTTCTACTGGTTTGCCCCGGTTTGGGCGAAATGGTAGTGATGGCAACGGGAGGCTCCGCCCACCTGCCTGGACGTCATCACGGACGCTCTGCACATGTGCAGAAGGTTCTGCGCACACTCACAGTTCCGAACTGGTAGCGAAGGTAAGTGGAACCCACTACTGGACTATAGGCTCAACTTGAAAGTTGAAAAAACATTCTGGAAAGGGCAATGGCAAACCACTTCCATATTGTAGCCATTAGCTGCATGAACATCAAAGCTGCATGGACATGCTCACATAATCATCATATATGTATTGAGGCCAACTTGAAAATATATTTCTTAATGATTTCTTTTTCCTATGGGGAAAAACTGCAATGCTTCTATTAATGCAGTTGTTTTCTCCTCTATTTTTCTAACCTATCAAGATCATTCAGAATTTTTCTGCCATAGTTTAAGGTACTAAGTATTCCACTCACCTTTGTGCTTTCTGCAGATTAGATAAGCACTGCTCCCACCCTGCCTCTTCCAACTCATTAATTTAAAATGTTACAGTACAGGACATACGAAAAGCTCAGGGGTGAACAATGGAAGAAGAAACCCATTATAAAGGCTGCCTGCCTTCTCAAAACTCATTTTAGCTGCAATATTCTGGGTATCAGTTGACATCATAAAGTGCTTTTTAAGAAATCCGTGGAGCATCTCAGTATGCAGATTCAGCAGCTCAACACACTGAACTGAGAGAGATCCATCTCAGTGGTCAGCTGGTCCTTATTGCAACCAAGGGGTCTGCAGTTTGATAGTTAGAAAGACTGGAAAGAACAATGTGCTATGCAGGTAGTCCTCGCTTAGCAACTGCCTCATTTAGTAACTGTTCAATAGTGCTAAAACAACTTAGCAAACAGTCCTCACATTTACAACCTTCGCAACACCTCTTTACTTTTATTTTCACTCACTGATTTATAGCATCCCAAGATGTCCTCAAAGAGAAAGAGAAATAACGCTGAAGGAAAGCATGAAGCAAAATTGTAAACACAGCCACGGCCATGTGATTTGTACTTAGCGACTGCTCCTCTTAACCAAAGATACCCTTCCCAATGGCAGTTGCTAAACAAGGACTTCCTCTAGTGAATAAGAACGTGGGCTTTAAGTGAAAGTCCTGGGTTCAAATTTCCAAGCCGTTTTGAAAGTTTACTGTGACATTTTGGAGCAGACACTAAACTACTGCTCAGTCTAGCCTGCCATAAACAATAGAAGTGGAGATTGCAGTTCCATAAGGGAGCTCCAGATTGATTCCTTGGCAGCCCTAGTTCAAGGCTTCAGGTAGCCTTCTCCCCAAACAAACCTCATCTAGACAGTATGAGCAGCATGCGAGGCTCCTGCGAGGATAAAATGTACACGCGTATTTTTTCTACCTAATCCAGCCTTCCAGGAAAGGATGGGACACTTGTCTTGCATTTTACTGGACGACAGGTAGTTTTTGACTTACAACCACAATTGAGCCCAACAAGCGAGACAGTTGTTAAGTGAGTTTTGTCCCATTTTATGATCTTTCTTGCCACAATTATTAAGTTGTTTGTCAGAAGATTGCAAAACGTGATCACATGACCTCAGGGCACTGCAACCATCATAAATATGAGCCACTTGCCAAGCATCTGAATTTTGATCCTGTGATTATGGGATGCTGCAATGGTTGTAGGTGTGAAAATGGTCATCAATCATTTTTTTTAGTGCTGTTGTAACTTCTAACAGTCATTAAACAAATGGTTGTAAGTTGGTTGGTTGGTTCAGTGTACCTGTACACTGAAAGAAAAATTCCAGGGTTACATCCCAATAAAATATTGGAAGTGATTTTTAAATTTTCTTTAAGGGCTATTTCCCATTCTTTTGGATGGGAAATTAATTGGTCTTCTAATACTTTTTGTAGTTCTTCTTCCTGGAGCAATTCTACTTCACTGTGGCACATAATGGTCAAACTGCCCATGATTTCATTGCTGCCCTTAAATTTCAACATACTGCTATTTGCATAATTGAATATCATATAATAATGAGTGAAATCATTTTTTGTTTTCCCTTCAAAAATAGCTCTTTTCAAAGCACTGAATGAAAGGAGGCAGCTAATGAGATGGCAGGCGGGGAGGGAGGGTTCAAATCACCAGCATTAAATACATTTGAGGCAGCCCTCCTTCTCTCAACAATTCTGTGAAATTAATAAAAAAAAGGGGTTAAAAAAAAAAAAGCAACTCCCCACCAAAAAAAAGCCAACCTCTGAAATAAGCATTGGAAGAAAAGCAAGAAATACATAAATGGTAAATATCTATATTTTTCACTTGAGAGATGTAAGTATTGCATAATGAGTATAGGACAAGCAGTAAGAGAAATCCTGAATCCAAGTGAAAGAATTTATATTTCTGGTTTTGCAAAATCTAAACAGCAAGAATCTACAGGCAAGTACATTTTAGTTGTATTATGAATTTTTCAAGCTAATATCTAAACCAACCTAAGGAAGCAAGGAAAGAAAGAGAGGAAGAAAGAAAGAAAACATGTTTACAATGTTGTCAGATTGGCCTCCAAGGGCTTCTTCTAAGAGCTTTGGCACAGGAGGTTTCCATTGCAGCTTTTTGCTGCTCTACATTTCCTAACAATGAAGCAGGGAGGGGGGTATCATGCAACATTAGGAATCAGCCTTCCCTGATACGGCAACCCATCTGTATTGATCTACCAATTTAATTCCCCCACATCTGGAAAGTACCTATTTAGGAAAGGCTGCTTTCCGAAGCAAGGCAAGAAACCAGAAGGATGTGTAGGGGAGAAAGATCTCATAATCCTTTTCTAAAAAGCTCCCGATTCAATAATATTATATCTCACCAGTGGACACTGAGAAGAAAGACACATTTTGCAGCTCAGAAAAGCAATAGGACAGAAATAGCAGGAGAAGGAAAAAGCAGGGAAAGTATTTTAAAATTAAGAGAGAGAAACAAGAACACGCTACCAAACACTGGGAAGTGTCCAACAAGAAGCCTAAAATACGATGATGATGTGATGATGATGTGAATCTCAGTATGGGAAATCTCAGAGGGGCAGAAATAGTGGGTTAAGGTATTGGACAAGAAATGGGAAGACCAAACTCCCTCCTCAGCCATGGATGTTTTTGGTTGACTTGGTGTCTTTGGCTCAGAGTTACTCTCTCTTAGCCAAATCTATCTCATCCATCACCATATTGGCTGCCCATGGTATGAGATCCTCATCAAAGACCCTTCCCATCCATAGTGTAATGGTGGCTACTTGAGAGAAGGCCTTTTTGGTGGTGACATCTTGGCTTTGAAACCATCTACACCAAAGGCATCCTTTGGCATCAGCCACCAATCCCTTTAGTTTCTTGGGGTCATTTGATTTTTTTTGTGTGTGTTAATCTGCTTTTATCAAATTGCTTTTTAAAAAAGTTAATTGGAAATATTATTTTCTAATGCTTTAAATATTTTATTGTATCTTACATTTAAATGCATTGCAAGGACAGTGCATCCAAATAAAATATAAATTACATATAATTAAATAATCCTTCATTACACAACCCTTCTCCCATTCTTCCTTTCCCACAACCATTCCGACCACACTGTACTTAGAACATTAAGTTCCTTGGGGCAGGGACCTGCCATTTTAATGCTATAAAACATTCTCTGTACTTAGGGAACGACTGTCCCTCATTTGTCTGGCATCCTAATCGGGAGGGTCTCTTATTCTCCTGCTTGCCTGAACCCTTGCAGGAAGCCAGGTGGAAGATTCGGGGTTCAACCTTTCACTTCTGCCCCAGCAGATGGGATGGAGAAGAAAGGCAGAATTAACCTCTTTCCAGGCAACCATCTCAGCAACCTTTTGCAAAATGGGGAGCCACCATCTCAAATCCCCAGGAGAACTTGGGCTCTTCGGAAGACCCGAACCACAATTCCCATCATCCTCGGAACGGTAGCCCTAGCCTAGGGCGTCACAGCTTGATTTATTTGGCGGCACTTAAGACTGGCAGAAGCTGACCTGATTCTCTCTCCCCCCCCACACCCCAATTTGGCTGTTCTTACTTGGCTTTCATACCGCCACTGCTGCAGGTAGCCCCCCGCCTTCTACCCCCGATTTTCTCTCCCTCGCTGCATCAGCACAAGATTTCGTTTGTTTGGGTCTGGCGCGCAGCAGGCGACCCCCTCGGCTCCAGCCTTCCCGTCCCGGCAGGAAAGCCGATTGCCGACCGGTTGGCCCCGCACACACCTGTGCCCTGCAGAAAGATGAAGTCATGATCGCCTCCCTGCCCGGAGGTTCCCTCAGGGATGGCGGAGGAAGGCTGAGGCGAAGGAGAGATGTCGCCGCCGCTCTGCCCTCTCTAATCCTCTCTGGCCAAGTCTCATTGGCAGCGCCAGCATTAATTCGATCTCGGCCAGTGGGGCGATGATGTCTTGGGGTGGGGGCTCTGATAGCGGGAAAGCTGGCAGGCTAGCGTGGGGTGGGGGTGGGGTGGGGGACAGATCCGCCGAACGCTCTTTACCTGGAGCCTCCGCCGGCGAATGATCCCGGAATCGTCCATCGTTTCCCGGCGGCGCGAAGGGTTCGCCCCATCGATTCGCCGCGCCTCCGGCGGCCAAGTGTAGCTCCCGCGCCGCCCGCACTCTGCAAGGCCCGGGCAGGAGTGGGCCGGCCGCAGAGGCTGGAGCGCAGGGCGGGGCTGCCCAGGTGGGCTGCGCGGATCGGTCGCCTTGCCTCCCAACTGCGGTCGCGGGAACGACCGGCCGCCGGCCGCCCTCCGGGACACGTCCCCTGTTTCGTCTTAGGCACGCTCGCCTTCCTCGGATTTTGCGAACGGATCCGGGGCCCGAATTGGGGCCACACTGCGCCCCTCTGGCTCTCCGCCAACGAGCGCGGCGTGGAGGCTGCAGGAGCTGCAAAGCGGCCCACGAGGAGGTGGAGAAAGGGAGGAGAGGGCGGCCCTTGCCCCTCCTCGGCTCCCAGCTCTTTGCGCCGCGGGCGGGGTTGGCGCACTTGCCGGCTACCGCCAACCCGACCTTGGTGGCCAAGCAAGCGACGAAAGATGCGGCGCCCCCTACCCCGCTCAAGGTCCGCTCCGGGTGCCCTTTCGACGCAATATACTGTGTCTTCGTGGAGGGCAGCTCTGGAATGGAATCCGGCGCGTTCCCACTTCCCAATTATTTGAAATGAAGATCCTCGATGAGAACCAGAAACTTTCTTTCCTTTGGGACAGGAGGGAAGACCTTAGAACCGACCCTTGCCTGTACTTAACGTTACAGGGCATTGATTCAGTGTGGACTTTATTTCCATAGAAATAATTGGATACAATCTGATTACTGCAGAAAGGCTTGTAAGCAGCAGTCTGCCTCCATCACATCCACAAGACCCAATTGAATCAGACCCTATTTCTGGGAACGGTGGGATTCTGTTATGTTTTTGGGACATTGATTCAGGGGGAAGAACCTCAGTTGTGGCTCCCTGTTGTATTCATGTGGCAAAGGGCAGACCCTTTTTCCTGGTGAAATGAAGTGGTCTGATTGGTTTTGTTATTCTGCAAATCTCTGCCACAAAATAGCAGCTATAACAGCCGATGTGCCAGGAAAACTGCTTCCTTGGATTGAATCTCAGACCCCTTTGGTCACTCCACAGGAAGCCATAAAAAAATCAATAACATAAAATAGTTGCCAAGAACATTCAAAACGACTCACATTAAGATCAGCCATGAAACAGGTTCACCATGCTACTAGAGCCCCAGGCAAAATGGCAAAGCCAGGTTTTTAATGCTTTGCGAAAGGCTAGCAGATTTGGAGCAAGTGTAATCTCAGGAGGATGATGATATTCCAGAGGGTGGGCAAAACAGCAGAAAAGGGTCTCTTCTTAGATTGCACCATAATGACTGATATTTTGACTTTTTTGACTACAGCCTGCAGACATCCTGGTGTCAAGCAAATGGCTTAGAAAATCATCTAACGTGGAAAAACAGTGCATTTCATATGTAAGGTTGCAATGTCAAACTTGAGTCAAAAAGTAAGAAATACCAAGGAATGTGTGGACTTGCTCTAAGCACTCATCGTGAGGTTACTTTCTTATTGCTAGGCCATTTCTCCCAAGGACAGCCTGTCCACAAAACTACCCCAAATAGCTGAGTGGTTCCTGCCTAATACCCAACCCTTGATGGACAAAGCACACAATTACATGAAAATATTCTTTTCTTTTGTGAATGCTTCTCCCACACACATCACTTTCTCTCTATATGTCTGTTCCACAGGCATACCTGTTCTTCCAATGTCCCAGAGCAGGACAGTTGAAAGGAGCAGGAAGACAGCCTAGTCTGCCGTCTCCCAGGGCTGTTGCTCAATATCTCTGATCTCCCCACTGCTATCAAGAATATTGAGCTGGGCTTTGGGAGGAAGAAGAATGCAACAAGTCCTCATGAAGAAGTGACACAAGCTCGGGCTGGCACTTTATATTCCATCAGTTTCCTTGACAGGAATCGGAGGACTGGTATGCTGATGCCATGTCAGCTTATTAGTACTGAAGAAACCATTCTTCAATAATTTTCAGGGAATTTTCTCTTACACGTATCCCAATCAGTACATAGATAATAGATATTTTCTTTGTGTTTAATAATTATTTATATTTTCTGCTACTTCTTTTATACAAGTTTTTCTAAGGTCATCTAGTTTCTCCCCAGGTATCTGGTTAATCATTTACATGTATTTATTCATATTCACTTTGTGCTTTAGAAAAGAATGTCAAGTCCTTAAAATTGGTTAAATGGCCCTCAAATGATTCTTCTCAGTCAATTGGCATTCAGATTATTATTATTTGCCTGCCTCTCTTATAAGGAAATTTTTATCTGGGTCACTGAATATTAAGGTAGGTGTTATTGTTTTCCATTGGGAATAGAGGGGGCCTACAATGTAATTTTCGGTTGTATCTACACTTTTAACAGTTATATACTGAAAAGGTGTTTTATAATATGAATGTATCTTTATTATAGTGAATATTATTGTTATGCTTTTAATTAATCTTTTTTTTCCTAATTGCATTTGATAGAGGTTTGACTGGCAGAGGAATAACAAAAATGATGGGCGTATTAATGGTTAGTATCCCTCTGCATATTTTAAATTTGAAACTCCAACCATTAATTTTTATTTGCATACCGGCAGTTATGATTGTATGAATGGCTATTAAATGTCCCCAACCTCTATATTTTAACAAATTTTGATGCATCAGTAATTTTCTGACATCTAAACAAATTAAAGTAACACATACATCTAATAAATTATACTGTGTTCACTTGAATCTGTTTCCCCTTTTAACAATTTTTGTTTATCTCCCCCCCTTAATTCTACCCATATTTCCTTTGCTTCTGTTCATTTGTATCTCTCTTTTAGTGCCATTATTTCTTGTTCTGTTGTTTGTATCTTAATGCTCTATTCATTGTTTATATTTTATTTCACTAGTATGTGCCTTCATAGAGTCTCAGGTGAGTTGCAAATAGCCATTGTGTTAAAATAGAAGTGTAATCAATTTGTGTATCTATTGACTCTCTACAAAAGATCCAAACATCAATGAATTCATGACTTGCCAATATATTTTTAAAGGAGTATTGTATTTTTTAATTGATGTTACTGTCTGCTATTAAATCAAAAACTTCTCTGGAAAACCATATCTCTTTTTTAAAAATTCATTTCTTTCAAAGTTGGTTGTAAGAAATTCCATTACTGTACTTTGAATTCTGAATTAATGACTTTCATATTTCCGGTACTAAAAATACCTTCCTTTTCGATCTTGGATTTCATTTTTCAATACCAGTCAAGTGTCCTTTGCTATGAAACCTGACACTATCCTTGATTTTAAATAGTTTAAAGCTGCACAAGATCTTCCCATGAACCATTTATCAGTTTATCTGTTATTTTTCTTATAGTAGGCTTGCCCTGGGGGGTCCTGTCCAGGGAGGGACCCAGGAAAAGAGCCTTTGATGCTCTGACACCCACATTTGCAAAATCATTGTTCCCTCTGATTACATTGGCCTCAACTCAGCTGGCTTTCCATAAGGCCTTCAAAACATAGTTGTGTCACTGAGCTTGGGGATCTGGATGTGTGCCAGAGCCTGTGAAATGGTTGTGTTGATCTGTTCCTGGTCGGTTTTGGTTGTTACATTGGCTACCAATTATATAAGCATTATTTCTATTGTTATGTGTTGTTTATGGGGTTTTAAATTGTTAATTACCCAAAGTCATAGATTTGAGATGGGCTGTCATATAAATTAAATAAATATATTTACCTCCTTAAACTCCATGAATACAATAGATTATTTTGTTTTGTTTTTTAAAAAGAGCATTCAGATAAAATAAGTGGGATGGAATGTGCACTTTGATCAGTGGATCAAAGTTGTGGCAACACACAGCTTTCCCAGGGAGGAGGCAGTAAATCTCATCAGAGAGAGTCCCGGATTAATAGACTGAATGGTCCTGAGCATTCAGGGTAGCTACAGTATACTCTACAATTTCTAGTAGGTTAGAAGATTATAGCTTAAGTTTGGCAAGATTCTGTCCATTAGGTGAAAGTGAGTAAAGAATAGGACTCGTTTGGACTTTGCTGTGTAATCTTTGAGTTTGGGCCTGACAAAAGGATTGGGCAATCTTTGAGAGATAGGATTGGCAACACAGTTTTTGTTTATGTGGAAAAGTGCAAAAGGCCTTCAGGTAAATTTGTGACATTATCAAAAGGCATATAGCTAATTTTGGCTCACTTTGTGGGTGTGCAAGGTAGTAATGACACTGGGAGGTCTTCAAGAAGTTAAGTATTCCTTTTCACCCTTAATCTGAATTAGAAAAAGAAGCATTTTAAACATTTTATTTGTGTTTTTTTCCTAGCAGGTTGTAAGAGTAAGTAATGTTTATATAGTTTTGGGTTTTTCCCCTACCCCCTACTGTTTTAATTATTCATTTTGTTTTACACATCCTGAATGTGTCAGTACATTACATATATCTGCTAGCAGCTGGAAAATGGGCAACAGCATATTGGCTTCTACGTAAGAATTTCTAGTCTCTTCACAGGATAGTGCGGGTGTGGTTGGGCTTTGGTTGTGGTTATGGCAGATTAGTCAAAATATGTCTGAAATGATTAATTATTACTTAATGCAGGATGGGTATAACTCAGGCTAATAACCCATCCTACACTTTCTCTTACTTGCTGAAAAAGTGATGTGAAGGCCTTGATTAACCAAAGCCAAGATGGATTGTAGAAGGCAACATCTATATTACTATCTGATGATGAACATGGAGGATTATGACTTGCAATATAAGGAAAGTAAATTAAAGAACATGACCGATTAAATGAAACCAAAGAAAGAAAAATAAATGTAGTTCTTGTGTGTGCAACTAAGAGAGCAGGAAAATTGCAATAGTTCTAAATAAAATGGAGTTGATGGAAACGTACAGGATGTGGGAGTTCCATTCAGCAGTGGGAAAGGACAGATGGATATCCTCTTGGGAGGTGCTGGGGAATCCAGTTGTCTCCCTGATATGGTATTTAATATCTACACTGAATTGCTAGGAGAGAAAGTGTAGAATGATTTTGATGGAAATACAGGATTGTTTCTGAAGTGGATGAAAAAGGCTAAACAAGGAATGCCAGCAGAGTGAATCCAGGTAAAGTAAAAAACCAGTGAATTTGCTTAGGGCGAAACTGAAGGAATATTTTAGGGATTGGAATTGAAATTTTAGAGGTATATTGAAGAATGGAATTGAAACAAATACTGTAACTGCTAATGTCAAAGGAATGAATGA